GAAATATCAGTCCCCTGCATCTGAAACCCAGCTAAATGAACTAGGCATGGTTTACCCGGGGCGGGGGGGGAGAGGGGGGGCAGGGGCACGGGGGGCGGGAAGCATTGATATTAGGACTGTGGTGACAGAGTGCATTATTGGTTCAAATTCTCCTCCCCTCTCTGGCTTCACACCCTTTGCCATAGGGTTTTGCAGTTCCTCACACGAAAGGAGCAGGATATATTTTCCCACTCCTCAACTCTGTGACATACTGTGACAATGGCATGAGGTGAAAGAGACCATGTGCTGCTTTGAAGACCAGACTGCACGAGTCTAGCCTGCAGCCACTTGCCCTCTGGCCCCTGAGAAGAGCACGCCTGGCAGCGCCTGGTCCCGGGAGGCGCACGAGAGATGCGTGGAGCAGAGCCACCAGCCAAGAGCCCCAGCCACCACCAGGCGGAAGCAGAGCCCCAGCCAATCTCCAGCAGAGACTCCCCAACAGCCGGCTGGTGGCTTCCTCTCCGTACGGATCAGTACAGGAGTCCTAACGGAATGCTATCAGGGAATTCCCACACTGGGAAAGAAGTCGGACCGAACCAGTGGTTCCAGACTCTGGAATTTTAGGTCTGAATGAAGTTACTCTAAAGAGCTGGGAATCCAACATGAAGCTGCTACCTTTTTGCTTCTGAGAAAAGGTAACATATAAAAATAACTACTGCTTACTAGTGCCATCAAGCCATGAAATATAGGACATGTTGACACTAAACTGAGGAAGGAATATCATCGTAGAGTATGACTTAGTCCTTGCCAAGCAGAGAGAGTTGGCCACCCTCCATATGTGAGCCTTTCTCTTTCGTCCTGTCACAGAGCAATGAAAACTAAATAGCTCCAGTCCACATATTAGCAACTTGCCTGCACGCTTTATGGTGGAGCTGCCAAAAGAACATGAAATCACTTACATAAATCGCGAAGCTGAAATCATGGTCTGTTTGGTCTGGGACAATATAAAACTTGTTGGGGCTTTTTTTGGAGTTGTATTTTTTTTTTAATCAGGATAGAAAATAAAGCTAAAGCCCTGGCCGGTGGCTCAGTTGGTTGGTGCATCATTCCATACACTGAAAGGTTGTGGGTTTGATCCCCAGTCAGGTTGCATATGGGAGGCAGCAATCAATGTTTCTCTCTCACATTGATGTTTCTCTCTCTAAAAATCAATAAAAGCATGTCCGCGGGTGAGGATAAAAAGAAAAAGCTAAAGATAAATGTGAGCACCTCTGTCTTTCCTTCTCCATTGTCTGCCTCAAGCCTCAGAGCAACCTGTGTCCTGCCCAGCCCCCACCCCACAGAACTTTTAGTTGCGCTACACAGGTGCCTAAGATGCTAGTGCTGTGCTTTCAAGAGTATAAGAATGTGTGGATGAAAAAGAAAGCGGTGGTTCAAGCAGGAGCTCTCTGAGGGCTACAGGGACACGTCAGGGGACAGAGGTGAGAGGCAGTGAATCCCAGGACCAGCTCCAGGGAAGCGTGGCTAAGTCACTTAGGAAAGTGGACCGTCTTCTTTCTGAGCATAAAGAGCCACTCCATCTCCTGGGATGTGTGGAGGCCAGGGAGTAAGAAGGGGTCTAAAAGCGGGTGGTGGATTTAATAGACTCTACTCCCACACCACAGGTGCCAGGCTGGCTCTGGCCAAAGAAACCTGGGAGCAATGGCACATGTCAGTTCCAGGCAGAAGCCTTGGGAGCCGCCATGAGGTTTGCCTCTCTTTTCCCTTTGTCATGAGACCACTAGACTTTCCAATAGACCATTCGAGCTTCCAATAGACCATTCAAATTTCCAATAGACCATTCAAGTTTCCAATAGACCATTTGAGTTTCCAACGGACCATTAGCGTTTCCAACAGAGGCAGCTCCTTCAGTCTGAGGCCCATATCAAACTCCACAAGCGAATGGGTGTGTGACATGGGTAAGAAACCTCTGGGTTGGTGGAAGTCGCTGAGACTTTGGAATTATTTGTTACTGTGGCAGAACCATGCATAACCTGACTGACACATGGGGATGCCATGAATTGAGTTGGAGAGCTCAACAATAGTGCAACAGAGAAAGACAGTGAGTTTGTCTTGCCCTTGTTTTAGGCAAATGAAAAGCAGAGTTGAAATCTTCCATCGCCACTTATTAGGCCCCAATAAATTTAATTTTATAAATAAATAAATAAATAAATAAATAAATAAATAAATAAAATTTAAAAAGAAAAGCAGAGGTGAGGGTTGAATACAGAGATGCTAACGCATGGGTAGGGCTCTGGCCCCAGTGAGCACATGTCACCTAGGAAGACTAGCCTAACCTCTTACATGTGGCTCTGGGTTTTCTGATTGCTCTTGGCTCAACCTCACTCACCAGGCCCTGAGGGGACTCACACACCCACCAGGGGTCCAGTGCAGAGAAGCAAGGGCTGTTCTTTGGAATCTGAAAGACAGGAGTCTCATCCCAACTCTGGCCCTTCATTTCTGCCTTCACCCATCCTCATGGATACTTCCTATGGCAGGCTTTAGGGAAGATGGACAATGGCCTGAGTTTCACAGGCTTACAATTAGTAGGAGAACTGACATCAAGCAAATAAGGAGATGAATACCAGTGGGTGAATAATATTAAATAAATACAGTGAATTGAGAGAAATTGGCGAAGGCTGCTTTGGGTAAGGGGTTCAGGAAAGGCCTCTCTGAGGAGGGGATATTTCAGATGAACAATGGGAATGTGTTAGGCATGCAAAAAGGTAGGGAAACAGCAAGTGCAAAGGGTTTGAGGTGGGAAAGAAAATGGCTTGTTTGAGGAACAGGAAAAAGCCAGAGTTTCGAAAGCAAGGAACGAATTATGGCATGAGGCCAGAAGCAGACCGGTCATCGGGACCTCGTGGGCCCCAGCATGGAGTTGGAAATTCATTGCAGGTGTGAAGGGAAGCGGGGGGTAATGAGCAGGGAGTGCCAGGACCTGGTTTCTGGTTAAAAGAGTCTCAGGATGCTGTGCAGAGAGTGACTTGTACAGGGGCCAGAATGAAAGAGACAGACAGTGAGGACACTCTTGCAGCCTGCCGGAGCTCTGTGACCTTCGTGTCCTTGGGCAATCCCTTATCAGTGCTACATCTCAGTCATCCCATCTGCAGAGTGGGCCTACTGTCTGCACTTCATAGTTCACAAACTCTTCGGGCTCCTGGAGGTGGGAATGAAGGCGCACATGGCCTTCCTCGCCCCTGCATGGTTCCTTCTAATCACTCCAGCTGCCTTTCCTGGAGCTAGAGCAGTAATGGCGAACCTTTTGAGCTCGGCGTGTCAGCATTTTGAAAAACCCTAACTTAACTCTGGTGCCGTGTCACATATAGAAATTTTTTGATATTTGCAACCACAGTAAAACAAAGACTTATGTTTTTGATATTTATTTTATATTTTTAAATGCCATTTAACAAAGAAAAATCAACCAAAAAAATGAGTTCGCGTGTCACCTCTGACACGCGTGTCATAGGTCCGCCATCACTGAGCTAGAGCCACATCCCGAACTTGCCTGTGTGGGCCTCCCAGAATCTCAAGACCCCGAGTCTCCAGTGCCTCCCGTGACAATGGGTTCATCTCTCCATCTGGATAGGACTGAGGACACCTGGAAGCTGGCCAGGAATCAAGACAAATGCAGGGGAAATACAGGGCAATGTGGAGGCCAGTCAAGCTTCCAGGAGGCCGGCAGAAGGGAAATAGAGGCAGATAAAGGTCAGACGGGTGCTAATTATGGCGAGAGAGATCAATCCTGACCAGGCAAACCTGGGTTCATGATGAGGGAGGGAGACTCAGGGAGCAAGACCAAGATGCAACTTATCCAGAGAACCTGACAGCCTGGCCAGGCTGCTGGACAGTGAGAGACCACATGGAGCAGAGAAGAGCTGGGTCAGCGGAGCCTACCCTGGATAAGCCAGCCTGGTTGACCTGACAGCTGTCTGGTGACACATGAGCAAGCTCAGCTCAGATCATCTGAGGCTGGCCCATCCCAGAAGAACTGCCTAGTTGACTCAGAAACTCATAAATAATGAATGCTTATTTATTTTAAGCCACTGAGTTTGGAGGTAATTCGTTACACAGCAATCACTGACTGACACAGAGGGGATGATGGCCAGTGGCCCTTCCTATTTCCCTGTAGCAGGCCTCTGCTAGCATCACAATCCTGTTCGAATCCTGTCTACATGTTCAGCTCACTGGACTGGGTCATGAGCCATGAACTTGACTTTACAAGTTTCTTTGTGACCTTAGAAAAACGTCTTCCCCTCTCCGGGCCTATCTTCTTATCTGTATGAAGCAACAAAATACTTCCAGGAGCCTCCCAGCTCTCAGGTTCTATGTTTGGATAACTCTGACCTCCTCGTGCAGCCATTCTGTCATTTACTCAGCAAGCATTTGCTCAGAGCCTGCTGTGCACCAGGCCTCGGCCAGGTCTAGGGATGCAGGCTCAGACAACAAGATGCAGACCCGGCCCACCGGGAGCTCGTGGTCCACTGAGAGCTCACTGTCTTGTGAGTGTAGAGAGGGTGCCTCTGAGGAGCCTTGGTGGCCAAGGAGGCTGTGAGGTGAGAGCAGTGGGCAAGAGTCGTGTTCATCCTTCCCAGCAGAAAGAGGGCTGCACATTCAGTGCCCAGGTGCCTCAGCCTCCGGGCTCCTGCTCAGAGATCGGCCTTGGTGTCCTAAGGCCTGGAGAAAGGTCACTGTATTTCAGCACATGCCCTGGGGAAATCAGAACGTGTGCCTTGAGCTAAGCACACGCCATGTGCAGGTAAATGACAGAAAGGCGACCTCGGTCCACTCTCTCTCACCCAAGGGAGCCAGGAGAGCTGACCCTACCCCTGGGAGACGGGCCCATCTTTGTGGGAGAGTGAAATGAGCAGTTGCGAGTCCTTTACTCCCCTGATTGCAACAGCCCTTCCCGACCTCCTTCCGAGTCTCAGAGAGAGGTGGGCCTGTGGGAGGTGTCTGCGGGGGACCCAGCGCTGTCCTACCATGGAACCAGGGGGCGATGGCTTTGGTGTTCCTCTCGAAGCCAGCTTGGCGAGGCAGCTGCTCCTCCTTGAACCAGCGGACTATGATTTCTCTGGAGACAGGACGCAGAGGGCGCTCCCAAGTCCTGCAGAGAAGAGAGAGGGAGTGTGGGAGAGTCAGGAGGGAGGGGACGGAGGGAGGGAGGCCACCGTGCGGATGAATAAGCACGGTGCCCACACTCACGCCTGCGGAGAGGATGCAATGAGCCAGGTACTTGAAGACACTTTGCAGATTCTAATGTACCAGCTGTGATTCTTGTTCCCCAAAGAACACTGTGATCATTTGCTTTGAAAAGAGCCACACAGGTGGGAGTGGGAAAGAGGACAGGCGAGGGTGTCTGGGGGAAAGAAAAGGCACATTTTCCCTCAAGGATGGCCAGGTGTGAGCGTGAGCATCCACGAAGAAGGACCCTAATGTAATGGGAGCAAAATGATTCACATGTGAGTGTCCTCTGTCCCCCACCCACACCCCACTAAAGAGAATTCCGGTCTGTCCCTCAGCGTGGCCCCTCCCCCAGCCTTCTCAGGGGACACCTGCCTTCACCAGCTGCTCCCTGCTTCCATGTGGCAGAATCAGGACAGTGAACAGAGAGAAACCGAGAACCCCAATTGGCTGTGGCTGTGGCTGAGATTCACCACCAAGAAACAAAAAGGATAGGACAGAGGAAAGTTGGGGGGACAGAGGACGGGGGACAGAGCACTGTGCTGGCTGACTTGATAGATTTGAAGGGGATCTGGGGAGGGGCTAAAGATAGCGTGAGATGAAGAGAGGCACTTGAAGAATTTATGAGTCACGAGAAGAATTTATGAGTCACGAGTTACATATTTTTTATATTTTCTCACAATCAAGCCAAGATTTTAATGTGTTTGTGTCTGAACTGTGGTTCTTGAATGCGTATGGAGGCTGGGCCGCCGAACAGCCCTGTTACATTGGAGCTACACTGACAGGAAGCACAGTTAGAGCTGGACGACACAGGACACGTAACAGGCACATGCCAGCTACCTGCTGAATGACTAGGTAGCAAGGCCACGTGCACTGGTCTGTGTGATGATATTTATGTGAGAGCACAGCGTCTGATGAGCAGCCTCTGGCCCGGCTTGAGCAACCTGGGAAATTCTTACCCTGTCACTGCCGCCCACCGATAGTGCCGGCATTTAGAATTCACCACTGTCGTCATCGTTTCTTATAAAACGAGCTGTCCCCTCACGTGTCCTGCATTTGCCCTGCTCTTATATGCTGCGTTCAGCACTTCCTTGCAAACCCCAGGATGAGGTCATATGATCACTTGCCCTCAAATGAACCCACTTACACACACACAGCCGCGAACAGTGTGACGTGAGGAAAGGGTCACACGGAAGCCAGCGGGTGAGGTCCCATCGCACGGCTTACCGCCACCAGCCGTGGAGTTTGTTCCCAAAACACCCTCCTTCCCCTGCTGCCTCCCTGGGCAATTCTGCACCCCCACTACCAGCTCTGCTCCTGCTGACCCACACTTTGGGGTTCCCCTCCCAGTAACCCAGAGGCCCCGCCTCTTTATTACACAGCACACGGCAGCCCTGCCCCAGCCTCTTCCTTCACACTCGTGTTCCCCAATAAATAACTGCTCCAGGGAAAACGTGTCTGTTCCTAGGACTCATGTTCCTTAGAAGGCAAGAGGAGGCTATAAATAACAGCAAGAAAGACGAGTTCCCTCCCGTCCCTCTGTTCTGAGCAGACGCGCCAGAGCAGGGATGCTGGGATGGTGCTGCGGGAAGTCACCTGGCCGGAAGCCTGACTCCTGCACCAGCAACAGCGTGTCTGCCCTCGGCACAGCCAGACCCGGTGCGCCCAAGCGGCAGCACCGAGTGCAGTGCGGTCAGGGCACTGGGCCCCTGGGGCAGCCACAGCAGGAGGCTGACGCAGGGCCTCTTGGGGCACTGGGTCTGCCGCCCCATCTGCATGGCCCCTGGCCCCCCTTGATGGCAGCCGATGCTCCCCTACTGAGAGCAATGGCAGCCAGCCTGGAGCCGGCTGCACCACGGCCCATGCAGCTCCATCACGTGGGCCTGCAGGACAAATCACCGGTTTCCTTTAAAATGACGCATTATCATTTTGCTGGGAAAATGCCAAGAAGACTTTTGTAGCTATGTCTCCAAAGCCAGGAAACATGAAAGACAACCTGACCTGGTAAAAGTCAAGAATTCCTGCATGACAGAAAACTTCATCAGAAAAATCAACAATTCCCGCATGACAGAAAACTTCATGGCAAAAGGCAAAGGACAAATGGCAAAGAGGAAAAAAGTGTTTATCACAAACAAAAGGATCCTCTTCCCTAACACTTAAAGAGTTCTTAGAAATGGGGGATGAGGAAAAAATAACAACACAAGAAAAACCAGGTGGAGGAAAGATGAGTCAGATATGGAAATACCAGTGGTCCTTAAACAGACAAAATACTTGACCTCGTCATGAAGAGAAATCAATTCCCAGCTTTCCGTGAGCATCATTCCTCACACGGAGCAGGAGCCTCACAGCACTGTGGCGAGGCTGCAGGGTGACGGGCTCACTGCACCCCCCTGTGAGGAGCAGGCTCGGTAACTCTCACCTCTGTGAATGCACACAGGCCCTAACCCATGATCCCACTCTGAGGAGCCGCTCTTGTAGATAATGGTGGTATGTGTATACAATTAATGTCTACAAGGTTATGCATTAGGGCACAGTTGGTAACAACCAAAGATTTCAAACTCCAATTTCATTAGTAGATTTTTTACAAGTAAATTATAGCACATCCTTGCAATGGAATACTGTACTATACTATAAAAAGAAAACTAAATAAAATTAAATAGTTAAGAACTGACATGAAAAGATCCCCAAAATATAAATGGGGAGAAAACCCATAATGCAGAACCCTGTGTAGAACATGCAAAGTTTTATGCAAAATAAAAAAAGAGAGAATATGACTTCTCATGTTGGAAGTTGCAAAAGGAAATGGCAGACACACTGAGAACAGCAGTTCCTTGGGGGAGGGGGCACTGAATAGAAGAAGACAGGATGGAGTCACTCTTTACTCCATGTGTCTTTTTTAACTTCCTGGTTTGTGAATCACATAAGTGACAAGGAAGGGAAAAGGGGAGAAGGATAGAAAGGAAGAAATTCAGACATGGTCAGCTCTCCCCAGCCTGCAGGGAGAGGGAGACGCAGGGAATGAGCAATCCTAAATCCCAGTTAAAGCAAAACTCAGACAGCCGTCCATCACCTGGGGGAGTGGACTCTGCAGGTGAGCTGTGGTTCAGACAGCTGTCCATCACCTGGGGGAGTGGACTCTCTGCAGGTGAGCTGTGGTTCAGACAGCGGCCCATCCCCTGGGGGAGTGGACCCTGCAGGTGAGCTGTGGTTCAGGGAGCTGTCCATCACCTGGGGGAGTGGACTCTCTGCAGGTGAGCTGTGGTTCAGACAGCGGCCCATCCCCTGGGGGAGTGGACCCTGCAGGTGAGCTGTGGTTCAGACAGCGGCCCATCACCTGGGGGAGTGGACTCTCTGCAGGTGAGCTGTGGTTCAGACAGCGGCCCATCCCCTGGGGGAGTGGACTCTCTGCAGGTGAGCTGTGGTTCAGACAGCGGCCCATCACCTGGGGGAGTGGACTCTCTGCAGGTGAGCTGTGCTCAGGGAGCCACAGGCACTGACGCCCAGCTTTGGTGCCCTCACTGGGGGAGGTAGTGGCTCTGTAGTGATGGGGGCACAAATCTGGGACTGATGGGCACTGGCAGAAGGTGGAATGCTCCAGGCAGCCACTTCCCCCTCAGTCCCGGCAATCATGGGCAGTCCCCTAAGTGCCCTCGCCAAGCCCCTCCCGTGACGCCAGCATGTGTGAGCCTCCTGCATCCCACCACGCTCACCTGCAAAGCTGCTACCAGAACCCAGGATGCACCAGCACTGCCTGTGGTTACAGAGGCAGCCAGCCCTGAGTTCCAGGCCACTGGGCAGCATTTACTCCAGCTGAGGTCTTATAGCACCTGTTCTTAACCTGCGATCTGTGGACCCTTAAGAGCTTGAAATTACATGCAAACTGTTGGGACTATTTATATATGCACATTTTTGGAGGTGAAAGGAGTACACAGCTTCCTTTAGATTCTCAAAGGAATCGAGTCCCCCAAAAAAAGCTAAGACTCCCAGAACTCCAGAGTTACTAGAAATCTCCAACCCCCACCCCTTCCCCCCTCCTGCCCATTCCACAGACTGGGACACTGAGGCCCACAGAGGGGAAATGACTGACCCCAAATCTCACTGCAAGTTGGAGGCAGAACCAGGACTGGACCCCCAGTGCCCCATGCCCCATCCAAGGCCCTGTCCCCGCCAGCACCCCCCTTGCCGAGCCCCGAGCCCCACCAGACCCACCTGACAGGCATTGCGAGGGGCAGCAGCGGCCCCGGGCTCGGAAAGTGGTGGTAGAGCCTGGCCTCCTGCTCATGGGTCTGGCCAAGCTCTTGGAGCATGAAGCTGAGGCCAGCGACGGTGCCCTTCTGGATGGCCCGGAGCGAAAGGCGCCGGTACTCGTCCCGGGCGCGCTGGGCTCGGCGCCTTCTCTCCTCGTCCGCGGCCTTGGACCGACGCACTGGAAAGGGAGAGAGAGCAGTTGTTCTAGAGCCGCAGCCCAGGCCACACACTGAGCAGCCAGGACCCACGGGATTTCCCACGCGGCTGCATGGAAGCCCGGAGCCAGAGCCAGGAATGCAGGCCACCAGCCCTAACCAGCAGCCCTGAACTAGCCTGTCCCTGGGGGTCAGGACATTCATGACAGTTCAGGTCAGGGGTCTCAGGCTGTTCCTGGAGCCTGTTCCAGAATGAGCAGGAAACCTCGGGGTGGAAATTTATGTCTCCATATGCACCTCCTCCTGCAGTGCCCTGCTCAGAGCAGCTACTCACTCCCACTGCCCACCCACCCGGCTTCAAGGGCACCTGGCAAAGTGGCCGGCACCTCCAAACAGCACTGTGATCACCCACTCTGACTGCAGGGTTCTCCGTGCCAGCCCTGGCTGCATGCCTCCTCCCCACTAGCTCATGGCAGACACGTCCCGGCCACACAGGGGTAGGTCGGTGGGAGTTTCCCAGAGAGAAGAGAGGGCAAAGCCATCCCTGAGAGGGAACCTAGGCTTCGGAGCCCAGTGGGTGTGCCTGTAAGTGCCTGATCCTGAGACCTTGTAACATCTGCCGTGCGTGTGCTGAGAGGCTCAGACAGGGCCCAGGGCCATCATGGGCTCTGCAGTCACCACGCTGCAAACTGAATACAGAAACGTGTGCCCTACAAGGGCCAGTGACCTTGGAGAGTTTATAGCCCCCAAGAGATAGCAGCACACAGACAGACAGACAGACAGACAGGGTGCAGAGGGAAGTCATACGCAGACTAGGAACTCAGCTAGGGCAGGCCCTGAGTCATTGGTCACACAGAGACTACACCCAGCCTCCCCCAGCCCAGCGCTAACCCCACCGCTTTTTCCTCAAAAGCCTTCAGTGGCTCCCACTGTACAGGATAAAGGGCAACCCCGTGGTCCTTTAGAGGTGTCCCACGCACCCACTTTCTTCCCCAGCCCACCAGGGCTTTGAGCTCCTCCCACACTCGGTGCTCTGGTCCCAACAAGCTCCCACTCCCCCCTTCTGCAAAGTCTCCTCTGTTATGCATGGGCAGCCGGGCAGCTCAGAGATGCCAGCAGCGGCCCTGAGGGCACCGAGATGCTGCAGCAGGAAGCAGGACTCTGCCTTGGCCTTGGGAAAGCCAACCCTGCCATCAGCCCAGAGTATGGCAAAGGGTTCATAGAGTCAGACAGCTTTCTTCTCTCTCTCTCTCTCTCTCTCTATCTATCTATCTTTTCATACATTCCCCTCCTTTTTTGAGATATGATTGACATATAACACTGTGTAAGTTTAAGGCGTACATGTGTTGGTTTGATACATTTACATAATTTAATGATTGCCACCATAGCATTAGCTAACACCTCCATCACATCCCATGATTATCATTTCATTTTTGTGATGAGAACATTTCAGATTCAATCTCTTAGCAACTTTCCAGTATAGAATACAGTATTGTTCACTATAATTCTATGCTGTGCACTGGATCTCCAAAACGTATCCATCTTTTTTTAAAATATTTTTATAGATTTCAGAGAAGAAGGGAGAGGGAGAGAAATATAGAAATGTCAATGATGAGAGAGAATCACTGATTGGCTGCCTCCTGCACGGCCCCCACTAGGGATCAAGCTGGCAATCCAGGCATGTGCCCCTGACCGGAATCGAACCGTGACCTCCTGGAACTATGACTTCTTGGTTCGTAGCTGGATGCTCAACCGCTAAGCCACACCGGCCAGGCAAAAACTTACCCATCTTTTAACTGCAAGTTTGCATCTTCTGACCGACGTCTCCCCAGTTCCTCCACCATCACCTCCAGCCTCTGGGAACCACCATTCTACTCTCTGTTTCTATGAGTTAGGTTTTTTTATACTCCTCATATCCATGAGAACTACAGTATTTGTCTTCCTCTGTCTGATTTATCTTACTCAAGGTCCAACCATATTATTGCAAATGAAAAGATTTCCTTCTTTCTCATGGATGAATAATATTACATTGTGCGTGTGTGTGTGTGTGTGTGTGTGTGTGTGTGTCTTCCACATCTTCTTTCTCTATTCATCCACTGTTGGATACTGGGGTTGTTTTCCTATCTTGGCTATTGTGAATAATGTTCAATGAGCATGTGGGTGCAGATATCTTTTAAATATCCTGTTTTCATGTCCTTTGGTTATATACCCAGAACATTGCTGGACCATATAGTAGTTTTAACTTTTTTTTGAAGAACCTCCATACTGTTTTCTATAGTGGTTGAACCAATTTGCATTCCCCCAGCAGTGCACAAGGGTTCCCTTTCCTCCTCATCCTCACCAACACTCCACAGCTTCCCTACGAGAGTCTCCAGGCCTCAGGTTGCCCCTCTGTCAAATGAGGATAACAGGGATGTCTGCCTCATTGAGTTGTTATAAAGATTAAATGAAACTCACAGAAACACTACGAAATGCTTCGGAAAAGCAACATCTTATTAAATCAGGCATCTGAGCCCAAGTCTCCCAAGGTGTGGGGCCAGGTGCCCGGGTGCAGATCCCAACCCCATTTGCCAGCTGCGTGACACTGAGTGAGTCACTTAATCCCCTGGGCCTCCATTTCCTCATAAGGAAAATGGAGATGCTAACAGTCACTATTTCATAAAGTTGTTATGAGGGTAAGGAAAGCTAATAACAGAAGCCACTTTGAATCAGTAAGCACCATGGTAAGTTAACTAAAATTTTTATTTTCATTAGCCCTGGCATTGCGAAGTCCGAAACAGAGCCATGAACAGTCTTGGCCCGTCCAGGAGGGGGCACCCTTGCCCGTCCATCAGGTGGAATCTGTCCCATGACAATTTGTAACTAGCTTCCCTTAAATTACACTCAAAACCTTAAAAGGTTGCTTTTAGTTCCTTCTCTGGATCAGGGAAGGATTTGGCCTGAATCCCACGAATCTGTTGTGAGAAGCCAGAATTCATGGAGTGCTTTCTCATGTAACCCAGTGAAAACAGCAAACTAGCAGTAGGAGCCACCCTGGGAGCAGCCACGGCAGTGTCTGCCCTGAGCCAGCAAGGATTGGGCTGTCCTCCTGCCCCAAGGACCCACTGTGGCCCGGCCGTGAAGTCTCACACCAAGCCATCTGCCTCCTCCCACAGCCCTCACTCGGCCCGGGGACTCCCACAGGCCTGTCCCGCAGGCACTCCAGGGCCGCTTGGCACACAGAGCAGAGGGAGCCAGGGCCATTTCCTTCTAAGGGGGTTCCGGGGCTCCTTTCTCCATCTCTCAAAGGGAGAGTCAGCCTCCTCTCACAGAAATAGCAGAAAGACGACAAAGCGTGAAAACACTGAAGACTTCCGAGGAAGGCTGGATTTAGATATTAAAAATGGACCGACCACACTGAGGTACCACTTCACCTTCATTAGAATGATCACTATAGATAAATATCTTTAGTAAAAAAACAAACAAAAAAAGCAGAAAGTAACAAGTGTTGGCAAGGACATGGAGAAATCGGAACCCTTGTGTATTGTTAAGAATGTAAAAATGGTGCAGCTGCTGTGGAAAATGGTATAGCAGTTCCATAAAAAATTAAACATACAGTTACCGTATGATCCAGCAATTCCACTCTGGATATAGACCCCAAAGAACTGAAAGAGGGATTGGAGCAAATGTTTGCACTCCATGTTCACAGCAGTGCTATTCACAATAGCCAAAAGGCGGAGCATAATGTCCATCCATGGGTGAACACAGAAACACAGGGTGGTGTACACATACAATGGAAGGTTGTTCATCCTTACAAGGAAGGGAATTCTGACACGTACTGCAACACGGATGAGCCGTGAGGACATTGTTAAGTGAAGAAGCCAGACACAAAGGGCAATAAGGTATGATTCTGCTTATATTCCACTCATTGTACTTGGAGTAGTTAGAGTCATCAGCAGAAAGTAAAATGTGGCTGCCAGAGGCTGTGGGAGGGAGAAGGGGGGTTAATATTTAATGGGGACAGAGTTGCAGTTTGGGAAGATGGAAAAGTTCTGGGGATGGTGTGATGGTAGCACAATGTGAATGTACCCAGTGCCACTGAACCCTACACTTACACTGGTTAAAATGGTACATTTTGTTGTATATTTTAACTCAAATTTTAAGAATGGACATTCTATAACCTCCCAGTTTGGCTTGGAATCAAGAGGCCGGAGTGCAGCTGCGTGTCATTGTTAGCTAGACATGTGTCCAGCTGTGGGCCCACCTCGAACTCCCCCACACACACCCCTACCCCCCACCCTCCACCCCTCCCCCCCTGTCTGTCATCTGCAGGTGAGAAGGAGAGGTCCCTTCCAGCTCTGCCCTCTGGTCAGAGATGCGCGCACACCTGTCTTGCCTGAGGGCACGTCCTCAGAACTGGGACCTTGCTCTCCAGGATTGCCGGCTGGACCCTCCTGCTCAGTAAGAAAACCCAAATCTCACTGTGTTTGGGGTCACCCTCACCCATATCAGACCTGGGAATTTCAGCCGCCTCTGGCTGGGGAGGACGGCGGAGGAGGGCGGTGGAGGGGAGGGGAGCATTGTGCCTGGCGTGGCTCCTAACTGTCTAGCCCAGGACAAGTCTGCACGCCGCTGGGTCTCGGCACCCTTCATCCAAGGGCTGCCCAAACTGCCCGGCAGTCCCGGACTCATGTCCTCATCTGCCCACCGCTCCTGCTCGGTTCCCCAACACGGAGGAGACGACAACAGAGTGGGTTTCCTCTCGCCAGCGTCTCTGTGAGCAGTTACAGAGCTCAGAGATACAACCAGGCTCGTCATTGCGAGAGGCAGGGTGTCCCACGCTTTTAATGACACATTTGGGCAGGGTGTGCACATTTACCCAGCCCAGTGTACTGAGTGGCTACTTTGTGGCATCAAGTTTAGGAGCAGTTTGCATGGGTTGTGTCGAAGGAGAAAGGGCACGATCGCCCATCCTGTCAGTGGGTAGAAAAGGCCCTTCTCCTGTGGAATCCTTCAGCTTCCCCTCCAGCCTCGAATTCTGCTC